CAGTCAAAACAAGAAACACAGCAGCATTAAACTGTTATTTTACGCTAGTGTTCTGCGAGAGCGTGGTCCTTTCTCATCAGGCCGACCTATTCGTTCTACACCAATAATATAGCTGCATCACGGTTCTTTCTACGTGTATTAAGTACAACTTATTTATTCTGTGGTATAACCACATTATTCATACGTTTGTTTAAATATTTAAAACTTTCTATACGTTTTTAAGGTTTAAAAAAGAATCTTTAGTGATTTCATGCAGCAGACTTCGTGTAATTCCAGATGAGTATTTTTGAATCCAGCTAAATCAAAACAAACAAGCACGTTTAACGATGATATTTAGGACTTTACTAAAATGTTTCTAGCTTGTATAATTTATTTTCGAAGTTTCAAAATACAACAACATATTTTTATTTTATTCAAGAATTGGTGACTTCAGGCTTCAGCCAGATCTACTATAATATTTAGCGGATTTAAAAAAGGAGGAGCTTCTAAATAGACTACTCTTTTGTACGTATGATAAGCGGTAATTTTTCTAAATGCGAACCGATTTTAATGACCCTTTTTTACTAACTTAGTCTATACTTCATGGTAGGAAATTAGGGGATAAAATTCTTGATGTAACTATTTAGACGATAACTCGAGGTTGTGATCAATTCACTCGAAAGGATCAAATAAATAAACTTTACAAAAAAATTGGAAAATACAAAAGTGCACACCACGAATGTTCATGTAATGTTTTGAATAATCAATTTACTTTTATTATTTACAGAAACAAGTATTTCGTTAAAGCTACAAAAAATTGTTTCTTATTTTGTTACCGAAAAATATTGTCAAATATTACTCAACGGGACGGTTTACAAAAGTGAAATTCAAAAAGCTTTCTAAAGACTAAAAATCTTATAAAAAAATATAAAGTGATCAATTCAGTTTTTCGAAAGATATCTTGTTCACATCAATATCGACCAACTGACGTCCAAGTGAAATAATTTCAACGAACTTTTTTTAATAATAATAATCGAAATAAATATCTTGTAAGTTGGAACTACGTCAGAAGTATTAATTGAAATCTCCTCTTGCTGTTTGTGTACTTTTTTATTATATAAGTGCATTATAAAGCAGGTGGAAGTGGTTTAACTTGAGTGGATCGCGATTTATTGATTTGGCGAGAATGGAGCACTACATCTCCACCATGAGTGCAAAATTCCACTTTATTTAATACTTTCTGAAGTTGGTGTTAAGACCAAATGTTTTACAGAATTAAAGCACCGGAAACTAATAATTTATGTGGAAATAATTTTATTCTCTTTAGTTTTTAAGACGGCTCTATGGCGCAGAGACTAAGCATTGAGTTGCGACGCTGAGAGACGCGGGTTCAAATCCCGCACGGAACATGTATTTGTACGGCCTACAGACAACTGTTCCGGGTCTGGATGTTTGTCCTTGTGCAATTTACAGGTAAATCCTAGTGCGGGAGTAACGTTTTTTTTTTTTTTTTTTTTTTTTTTTTGTTTAAAACACAACTTACAACTATCATTACAGGTTACTACCTAATTCGATAGTGAAGCACACATCAGTAAACATATATATACTTATAACAAATACCTACTTATAACAAATAACATATAATGCTATCCTTGTGAACTCATTTGGCGTACAAATAAAAATATCTGTCTCCTCTGCTACAAGGTTGAGAGTGCGAAGTGCCCGTGTCAGCGGCGCCTCGTTCAATAAATTAGTGCGACCACGAGGTACGGCCAGCAGGTGAGGCCGACGTCGTCGCCACACATATCTGTCCGGCACACACAAACACAGTAAACATAATATATCTGCGTGATGTACCTTACCCCTAATTAACTTAAATAAATATGACACAAGCGTGAGCTCCCGCCTGACTCGTAGTTCGTTGTATCCCACCATGCCCAACACAAACAAAGTTGGATACATAATAGGATAAAAAGGATACACTCCATATAGCCTAAAATATAAAAACCTAGTAAATTTGTTTTGTATCCGCTCCAACATGAGACTATATTTAGTCTCATGCGGAGCCCAGATGACTGCGTTGCATTCCAATTGGCTTCTCACTAAAGCGTTGTATAAGGCGATAATGGCTGCTACATTTGTGAAAGTACGAACAGTTCGTAAAAGGAACCCTAAATTTCTGTAAGCCTTTTTACAGCACTTAGTAATGTGATCACGAAACGTTAGCCCCGCGTTGAGAGTAACTCCTAAATCCTTAACTTCTGTGACCCGGACCATTGGCATTCCATCAATGTTGTAACTATGTACAATAGGCCTATGTGCACGTGAAAACGTGATTGTAGCACATTTTTTGATGTTGAACTGTAAAAGATTCTCCTTGCTCCAATTAGCTACACTATTAATGGCATTCTGTAACCGTCCACAGTCACTTTCTTCCTTCACAGTCAGAGATAACTTAAGGTCATCTGCAAACATTAAACAATTTGCCTCTTTAACGACTTTGGGCAAATCGTTCATCATGATTATAAATTGCAGAGGACCGAGATTACTTCCCTGACTTACACCAGACCACGTAAAATACGGCTCCGATCTGTGTCCCGCGTATTCTACGTACTGCTGCCTATCCCTCATATAACTGGCAAAAAAATTAAGTAGATGTGGTGTGAAACCAACAGCTGCTAACTTCTTGAGCAACACGTCATTATCGACTAGGTCAAATGCTTTTTTGTAGTCGAAGTAAGCAGCGTCAGTCTGCCCTCCACTATCCACTGTCGGCAGCAAGTGAGCCATGTAACTGAGCAAGTTGCTGGTAGTGCTCCTCATTGGTCGAAACCCGTGTTGGGCATCTGAAAGTTGTGCTTTCACCTGCATAAAAAGGCTGTTATGAATAGCACACTCTAACACTTTAGCCGGTGACGACAGTACCGCAATGGGTCTGTACCCACTAACATTGTCGTTGCCTATTCCTCCTTTCGGTATCGGTACGACACGAGTAGTTTTCCATCTCTTGGGAAACACAGCCGCGCTCAGACATCTATTGAAGATATGGAGTAACGGCTCAGCCAGCACAGATCCACAGTCTTTGAGAATGTACGCCGGAATGCCATCCGGACCTGCGGACCTCTTCGGCTTAAGCTGTTTAAGCGCACTCCGCACATCCCCCAACTGTAAGTTATCTAGATGAACCCGCGCTACACCATTCTCATCGCCCGCTCCTTCTATCGCAGTATTAACGTTCAACTCGGGTCGTATCGTACTATACACCGAGTGAAAGTACTGGGCGAACTCTTTCACACATTGTTCATCAGACAACACTGCCCCGTTCTTTAATATCTTTTGTGTATTTCGACTACCTTTTCTGGAGTTCACGTAATTCCAGAAGGATTGTGGATCTTTTTGTAGCTGACTTTGAACCCTGCTAGTATGTTGCTCTTGTGCTAGTTTTATTAATCGTTTTACTTTACTCCTACACAGGGCGAACGCTTCGTAATCATTCTTGGTCCTACTTGCCTTATACAGCTTGTGGAGAATAGCCTTACGTCGTATGTTGCGAATTATTTCAATAGTGTAAAACTCGGGGTAAACATACTTCGAGCTTACCCGACATCGCTGTTTTCTGGGAACACAGTCATCTATTTTGGAATTGACTGTTTCATAAAAGTAATCTAAACTCATTTCTAAATCAAGGTTATAAATATCAGTCCAGTCTATAGTTCCTATTGACGCGTACATTGAAGCGAAATCAGCTTTATTGAAATTCCAACCTGGGGAAACAGTACTCGATTCGCACTGGAATGAACCTGCGACTCGGCGCGGCCACAGTTTCACCAACACATCCAGTGGCGGGTGGTATGCATCCACAGGTACGAGAGGCGCCCCTGCCTCGCGCACATTCACACTCTCTCCCTTTGTAAGCGTACTTAACACTAAATCTAAACACCGATCATTACAATTAACAATCGTGTTACACTGAGTAAATCTACAGTAAGATAAAAAATATTGAAAATAATTACATACGTTTATAGAACAGGAATGCATATTGAAGTCACCAATCACAACGATATCACTATATTTACTACACAGTTGTTCTATTATTCTAAACAGTATCATATAATCATTCTCACAACTATTCGGCGGAATGTAAACAACGCACAATAGAAATAAAAGTCTGTTATGCAGGTAGACGGTCGCACTGATCAGTTCAAACACTTCGTCATCGATGTTGACGTCACTCGGACTCGCCACTCGCCGCAGCTCTAAACGCGGTGTGGCCACGAGACACGCGCCTCCTTGCTTTCTTCCATCCGCGCGGTCGCAGCGAATTATTGTGTATCCCGGCGGAACAAGTTCTGCGTCGTGAATGGATTTGTTACAACCTGTCTCAGTAATGGCAAATAGATCTGCTCCTGAAGATGAGACGCCTACATAAAAGTCCTCTAATTTCGTACGTAAACCTCTCACGTTTTGGTAGTAAATTTCAATAGCTGTGCTATTTATTGAGTGTTTTTTTGGTTGTTCTACGAAACCATACCCATTCACTGAATTCGATGTTTACAGCCCAATTGTCCGATTGATATAAAATGTCATAACTGCTTTCAGGTACACCAATAATAAAGGAAGAATAATCCCTTTCCGTCTTATGCCTGATTCTTTCCACTGTGACTGGTACTTCCTCTCCGCATATATTCTTCACGTATTTTTCTAAGTTTTCAACCGTGGTTTCTTTATGGAGACGCCACACATGTAAAAATTTCTTCCGTTCAGTCCCCTTGATTTCTACTGCACTCGTGCTTCCGCCTTTTTTTACCTCAGTATTAGGGTATCTGCTTTTCTTCTTTTTATTTACTATTATCCAGTTTCCTTCCTTTTGAGATTCTATATCCTCAGTTTCGGTTATTTGCTCAGAATTATTTCTTACTTGCTTTGGTTCGGGTATCTCCTTCACAATTGAGCTAATTACGGAAGTCGATTTGTCTGATGGTTTCGTGGCCACACTCGCTTGCTTCGTTGGGAACTTATTTTTAAGTACCCGGTTTTGGTTTCGGTTCGCTGCCGCTGCAAATGATTGAGGAGTTCCTTTTTTGTAAATAAGCTTCCTCATTTTTATCAGTTGTTGGACTTACCCTAATCATATTGCTCACTAATTTTTCATCATTTCTTACTATACTATCTACTTTCGCTTCCAATATTTGTACTTTATCTACTTTTTCTTGAAGTACCTTCATTTCTTTTCTTAATTCTTTTAATTCTGTCTCAGTATTTATAAATCTATTTCTTAGTATCTCATATTCCTTAAGCTGATTTTCCATGAGAGCTTTCATTTCTAAGCGAAGCTCCCCAATCACTTCCATAATCCTGTCTTCTTTAACAACCTTGTATGAGACATTTGGGTTTCGGCTACCGCGCTCGGTGTTGACGTAATCCGTGGATGTTGCTGTTTTATCCATTATCCCGTAGCTTAGAATCGGTGTTTCCCAACTATCCCTCTAGGTTTATACTCATTCAGGGTGACTTCCCTGATTTGTATTTCCAACTTATTTCGCCCGTCCAATAAAACACGTCCGTTCGCGTTGCGTTCGCGTTATCAATTTTTTTTAACGAAAAAGATTTTAGTCGTTTCATTGGGTACTAATAAATTTATACTGTTACCGCATTATGGCATAGGTAATAATAAACAGTTTAGCATAAATGCTGAATAAAAGCATGATCAAGTTGGAAACACATAAATACTAGAAAGGTCAAAAGGGCAAGAAAACGTCCAAATTACGTAACGTTTCAAGTGACGTCATATAAACTCTGAAAACTATTTCCAAGAACAATAGGAATAAAACCGTTGTTTCGTGGTATTTAAAAACATCATATGAGCCTCTCGATTGAAAACTACTAAATTGTTAACACTGACGGGTTGGGCAAAGCTAAATTGACAATAATTCTCAAGCTGTTTAATATGTTTCCTGTGCATTTATTAATATTATTTAAGAATGTTGCCATGAACATGCCAGGTATTTAATTTTTAATAGAATTAATTCAACACTACCTCCCATATGCTTATCATAAGCTGCTCTATCACCCTTATGTTTATCTCTGCTTAGCCAATTGTTGACTGGGAGAAAAAGTCCCCCATACATACGATTTTATTTTTGTGCATAATAGGATAAATAAATAAATAACAATGTACACAAATCTTTGACATGTCAAAAGTAAAATAAAAAGTGATGTACATTAAAGTTAAAAAACATAAACCAAAACAAAAATACTTATGATAATGTAAGAAAACAACAACTCATGAGGTGCTATAAAAATCGATTAATGCCCGTTAGCCTTGCTAAGGCCCGACACATACATATACCCTAGATGGTTTAGATTAACAATAGGACCCGGTAGCTGGCGCTGTTGTCGAGATCCAGAAATAACCCGTGCAAAGTCGGAGCGGATCGCTAATAGTGTTATAAAAATACTTTTTGAAGTAAAACTTCCTTACGCACGCTTGACTCTTCTGTTGACTTTGATCTTTACTCCCCAAGAGTAAGCTGACGAACGCGTGACTAAAGTGTTACGAAAAGTGTGATCGGACGTGGCGAACGGGAGTTGAGTGGGGTATATAAGCAAGAGAAAGCAGTGCGATCGCACATTTTCTTTTTCTCTTTCTCTCATAGCCAGTTATTTTTCGTAATTTTATTTCGTTTTGAACAATTTTATGAATTAATATTTTGTTCAATACATTAAATATTCTACGTTTAAAGTGAATAAAATTATAAATTCATTTTAAAGTTTACGTTTTGTGAATTTTCGGGTGAATAATAACAAATTATGGAAGAAAGCCGATAATAAATTTAAATATTTGTAGAAAATTAATATATGTATATAAGGCATATATATACAGATGGAGCTAAAGAAGTTTTACTTCAGTCGTGTGGGGTGATATCTGGATTTTATAATATCGCCACCGACCGGATACAACTATGCCTATAACCCTCCCGGAAGTGCAAGCAATATTTTGACAAAGTTTTACCACAATCTGATGAGCGGTATGACAGCGTATAAAATACGAACGAAGAAATATTATTTTTTACATATTAGATTTATTATTTTATGTATAAACAAAGCACACTATAAGATAAAGGAGAAAAGAAGACTTAAATTTATAACATGGTGAAACAATTTGAATTCTAAATGAAAAACACAGTATTAAACGATGAATACAGTATGTATCAAAAATAAAAAGGCATAATGTAACAAAATGAAAAATGTATGTATTCTCAACAATAAATAGTACCACAGACATAAATTTTGTTTTGAATGGTAATGTTTTCGTTACGCAAACTTAATTCTGTTGAATCTAACTTAGATTTTCACCATTCACATTTAACACGTGGCTGAACCCTTGGTATTTTCTAGGACGCTCGGATTTAGCTCAGATAGAATATGTATACAAGTATACATTTAAAATTTATGCTTAACTAACCTTTCCGTGGAGTTATAAAACATAGCTGCTTGGCGTTTCAAGTCATCGCTCACAGTGTTGTCCTCGTTCATTGTATAAGCACAGTCACTAATCTACACCACTACGGGTCACTGATCCCGGATTTTATTCTATCACTACCTAGCAAGGGAAACTCTACCTTATGATAAGTAAAACAAAGTGAAATCAATATTTTTAAGTATATAATATGTGCGATATTTCGAGGCCGGCAAGTCAGTGTACGACGCCCGCGCCTCTCACTCGCAGAAATCGACTGATCAACCCACTCACTCACGCGACCAAACCAAACCCCCCACTAGTATATGTGTTTGTTGACATTGTGGCTGGCGACACGTGAAATCGTGAACGTTTTGAGGAAACCACAACAATGGTAAACCTCTACGTTACTGTTATGTACACGACCTCGAAATTGATATGAAATGTCTAATGTTCGCAACAACATGAGGGCTCAAATACATTACATAGTGGAAATTATAATTTCATACACAATGATTATCCAAGAATAAGTTCCAATAAATACTCGAAGTTTGCATGGATAATATTATTTCGGCGCTCTGCTACAGTTTTGAAAAAAAAAAATACATCACCATGAAACTTATTTTCATTTTTAACACGCATGTAAGCTTATCTTAAATTAGTTATTTAGGTTTACAACTTATCTAGGTACATACAACTGGAAAACGAGAGTACTGCAGTACTGGCTATTTCAAATCAAAATAATTTTTGATTGGCTAAGAATTCTAATTTCGAACTCATTTTATTTTAAAAATATGTAATTCTTTTCTTTAAATTAGTCATTTGTTTATTGATTAGCGTTATGTTTTCATGGCAAATGAAATATTTTTCTTTCTTTCTTCAATTACGTTAAACATTTGAGTAATTATGGAATATGAGTACTGTCGTGGCAGCAACGCGGCACAAGCGGCACGCAACATCAACGACGCGACCCACACCACCTGTTATTGGTTTACCCACTTCCGTTCTGGAAATTTCGACCTGAAAAATGAACCCCTATATAATGAACCTGAATAATGACGAATTAAAGGCGACTGTGGAAGCTGATGATACTCAATCTACCGCTGAATTAGTAGTAGTTTTCGACGTAAGCGTCAAAACAATATTGGTCCACTTCAATCTACTTCTCCATAATTGGTATAACTTTCTGGCGTGAGAAAAATCCAATACACAAAATATAAAATGAATTTGTTACCTCCCGTCCCGTTGATTTCTTAAAGAAGGGTATCAACAAACTGCCACTTCGTTGGCAAATATGCATCGATTCCATGGGTGATTAGATTACTTTGATTATAAGAAATAAAAAAATTACCTTAACTTATTTCATATAAAACGGCATTTTCATAGGTAAAGACCTATATATGTATATATATTTTACAGCACATAACAGAGGTAGCTCAACTAAAGACACGCGGTAAATATTATACGTGAAGAACATGTATGTGGACTATGAGAAAGCCTTTGATTCCGTTTGATTTGTGCGTTGCGACAGTCCCTTCAGCGGTGCCAAGTTGGCTGTCGGTATATCAAAGTGCTGAAATTTTTGTTATGGGTTATGATGGCTATCCGAGTACAGAACCAGAGTACGAAACCTATCCAACTGCAGAGAGGTGTAAGTACAAGGTGACGTTATATCCTTGAAACTATTCACCGCTGCATTGAAAAAAGTTTTCAAGCTACTGGACTGGAAAGGATACGGTATTAACCAATTATTATAAGAAACATCAATTGGGAGTACTTCACTTACCTTCGATTTCCTACGATATAGTACTTATGGCAAAATCGCTTGAGGACCTAAGCACTATTCTCAATGACTTTAATAGTGTCTCCCAACGTAGAGGTCTTAAAATGAATATGGACAAAATAAAGTTCATGTGTTAACGCCCATGTCATATACCTATACCAGTAATTGCTGGGAAAACTAACCTCGAAGTTGTTGACAAGTACGTTTACCCGCGACAAATAGTCAGACCAGGTAAGTCCAATTTCGACCAAGAGGTCAATTGATGGATAACTTAGGCAGCGTTCGGGAGACACATCTTCGTCCTTCACTGCTAGCCGTATGAGAAAGCTTAAGGTCTGTCAGCGAGCTATGGAGAGGGCTATGCTCGGTGTTTCTCTGCGTGATAGACTTAACAATCACACAGTCAATATCAGCTGTAGCACAAGAGTAACCGACATCGCCCAACAGATTAGTAAGCTGAAGTAGCAATGGGCCGGCCATATAGTTCGAAAAACCAATACCTGATGAGGAAGAAAGATTCTCGAGTGCCTTTAGCCTCATATTGGTAGGCGAAATGTAATGCGGTCCACCACTAGATGGAGTGAAGACCTGGTAAGACTAAGGCAGGAAGTCGACTAAGGACCGGGCATTGTGGCATTCCTTGGGGAAGGCCTATGTTCAGCAGTGGACTTGGGATTGTCTGTTATGATGATGATGATGATGAGGAACCTGGGTATGATCCTCGTCGGTACTAATGAAACCGTCAATTGAAATTTTGAGTGCTAATTTACAACATGCTCTGCAGTGAAGGAAAAGATCGTGAGAAAACAGCATTGGGATGTTTATAGCTTTTTAAAGTAAAGCTTTTATCTTTCCTTTAAATTTTAATATGTTAAACAAAATATAGTCAATGATTTATACTTAATATACAAAGTGTGCATGAGTCAGTTTTGTCTCCAAATACCAACGTCAATAGCATGCGGCGCCATAATGGACGGGTGAGGCCCTGGCGCTCGACTGAGGATGACCTTCAGGTCATCACCATCAGGTGATTCATCACCAATGAATGCTTGCCAGCTGGCGCATGTCCGGTCAATGTACTAAAGTCACGAATTAACTTAAAGTCCATT